GGGGGGGGTTGCAGTGGATTTTTTTTAATTTCAATTTCATGTCTACAGCATGTCATATCAAATCACGTGCAGGCCAGAAATCTTTTATTTGCATTGGGGGATGGGTGTGACAGGGTTATAGGTGTTCCGTGCAGATACTTCAAAATGCTCTACATAATTAGCAAAAGGCTGCACGTACTAATATTGGATAATTACAAATACCTATTTCGGATGCGTGCCATTAAATGAGTCTAGACATAAGCTTGGCTATGGCTAAACAAATGGAAATAGTTTGTTGATGGGTGTCTCTGAAATGCAGGACTCGTGCCTGCTCTCCAAACAATTAAGTAAATGGAAAGTAGGTTCGTGATGCATATGATTTCTTTTGAGCTAGACCGATCTATGTTCATTGCAGTCCCATTTCTGTTTTTGTTGAACTGTGGTCTTGCACCTGTGCTAAAATTAATCACCCTTGGCTCACCTAACTCAACTGTCAGTTCAGCCCTGCCTTGCCGGGTCTTAAAAGAATTCTAAATTGTTTGGAAGATGATATGACCAATTTTTTTGCAAGATTACCAGGGTAAACATGAATGAGTTGTATATTTGCATTTAGAAAAGAGTACAATACTTTGATGCGGAGACCCCTTAAAAGTTCCTTTTTTATGTTTTGATCATCAGATTCTGGGGACTGATGAATTAAATTCTTATCTAAACAAGTATAGATTGGAATTAGATCCTCATCTTGCAGCCCTTGTTGGACGGTTAGTATTGTCAACTCAAAAACTATATTTTCAAATGGATCATTCTCTGCTAGATAATTAGACTTTTTCATTGTTCAGACATAGTAGGAAACCATGGTCGAGGTTTATTAATTCTGAAAGCCAACATCTCGCAGGCCCCGAGGTATGAAAGCTAGTTTCGATAGATTTTATAAATACAATGAGGTGAAATTCTGTTTACCTAAAAATGTGCAATGCTTATTTTTCAGGCGGTTGATTTTGTTGACAAACTGCTCCGCTACGATCATCAGGAAAGACCAACTGCAAAAGAAGCAATGGTAAAATCCTCCCTGCCTTTCGTTTTTTTTCTCCAGCTTATTAAATAAATAAAGAAAGTTCTCTCTTTTTCCAAAATAAATAAATAAATAAAGTTCTCTTTTCCTTAATGAAGGTTAAAATTCCCAATTTTTTCCTTTAATCGTCTTTGATTTCTACTGGGCAATATGTTGTCAGTTCAAGGTTCTTAGAAATGTTGCCCACTGTAACTGTGATCGACATTGCAGGCTCATCCGTATTTTCATCCTATACGAAATGCTGAAAGCAGTAGAATCCGCACTCACTAAAAGATTTAGCATCCAATGGACCAAGTTCTCTGGTGACAGCCAATTATTGTGAACCGCTTCAATTAGTTGAGTTGCTGGTTATACTAGGTAGTTCTCTGTATGCCAGCTTCTTGTTAACTGTATTATCTCTTTTAGCTGTGTGAGACCTGAAAGAAAAAGCAAAATTCAATTTGTTTTCTCCGTTCCTGGATTACTTTCCTCTTAATTTATTTTCTTTTCTCTTATTTTTTGTGCTTCTGAAGTATAACTATATGAATTCGGTCGGAGTGTAATGTGTTGTTGAAACATTAAGAAATACTGAGCAGATGGATGGCTTTCCCTAGTATTTCCAAAACGTCAGATGACTCAAGGACTATATAAGTATTACTATGGTCCTACCTAGGTTTGAGAATATGTTTTCCTTTTGCTACCACAAAGAAAGGATATGGTAATGTACTGTACAAACATTTACAAACCCATGAACGCACATGTATTCATATCTAAGAACATGGTTTTCTTTGAAGATGCTTTTCTGCCAAGTCTATCGTTTTGTTCCATATGTTTTCGCATTTTAGCTGTAATGCTTAAAGGGCAATAATTGAAGGTTGCCATCTATTAATATTTGTGGCTTTCAACGTTGATTATAGCTAGACGTAATCATCGAATAATTTTATGACTACACTCTTTTTGCTTATGACTAAATGTTCGAAACCCAACGCTTTAGTAAGAGTGTAACTGTAGGTTTCAGGTGGCAAGAGTATTCCTTGTCGAGTGGTAGCAGGCACTTGAATAAAAAATAGTTTGACTATTCAAATAGTAATAATTTCATATGGAACGGGAAATAAAAAGCCCGCCCGGTATTTTTATTTGGATTACCCTCGTAAGTCTATTTCTTTGAGACTCATTTACACAACTTAAGAAAAATGAGGTGATTTGTTTTGGCAAATCTATTACCAACTTTCACCTCACTAGACAATATTTGCATTATTTAACTTCCTAAGGCGTATATACAATTGACAAGAGGTGGTGCTGGGGACCAAAATAATGTGGGACAGACAGCTTGAGGACAGCGGCATCCAAGTTTCTCCTCACAAATTTGGACATTTGGTATCTAATCAGCTTCTGGTACTCCTTTGGTCCTACAGTGTCTTACTTCTGGACCAGATAATCAAACCTTGGGAGGCACAAACACACCCAACTAGACTACATTTATTCCCTTGAGAAGTCATCTTCAACCCCTCTGCCACCCCAAATCAAATTGTTTTGGCAATTTGGCATCTTTCTTTTCATTGTCCGTTCCATTCTGTTCAGGTTCTTCTCAACTAAAAAGAGGGACCTCAAATCAGATATTTCATTGGTGGAATACTCGCAAATTAAGTGACCATATGATGTTATCATAGAATAAATTAGTTTTACTTATTATATATAGTTACCTGTAGTTACTATTTTGATGATTTTATAATGCAGAAATTCTTTCACACTGTCGATATATGTTTGTAATGGAGAATGTACGTAAGACAAGCCAAGCAAGGTGTTTGCATAAATTTTCAAGGTATGAAAAATAAACTGCAATCACAAAATAAGAGAAAAATATTTTTACTAATCAATTGTGAGTACAATTCTGTTTCTCCCTTGATTCTTCTCTCCTGATTATCTCTGTGATTCGAGGGCTGAAATAGCGTATTTCTCGAATGTAGGATGGGCAGACCTCCTGAATATGTATTTGATCTCCAGCTTCTTGAACTATTTGATTGTCAAGAAGTATTCAGCCATATTTTGATCTCTTTGTGAATATACCAAGAGTTTATGGGAATTTTGAGACACCTCTTCAAAAGAATATATATACCTTTATATAGGCGTGAGTTAGGGTAGAGTAACATCCAAGAAACCCTAATAGACTCCTAAGATTTCAAGAGTTTTTGTAGTATCTTTAATATAAGATTTGGCCTGATCCATTAAAATTTTGATGTCTACCCAGGCATATCCAACTTTGAACTAGACAGATAATCGCGGTTCGTTAAAATTTAAAAACTTGTCTTTCTTTTGAAGTGCAGGATATTGTGTGGATCATCCCCTATCTAGTCTAGGATTAAGATAAACTTCACTGATTGGAGTGCTATTCGTCTGCCTCGTGTCACTGCCCACTAGCCTTTTACAATATCCAATATGGCACCATAAATAGATCGATATATATATATGACAGGAATATAATTGGTGGGGCCGGGGTTATGAATGTTCACGATCTAGGATGTCTTGTCACCTCACCAGTAACGGATGTTGTTTTTGACAATAGATACTAACAACTGTACATATGATCATATTTATTTTGAACATTTTAAATCTTGATGTCAGAATATATACTTGTATTAATTAAATCCACACTTTCTCAAACAAAGAGATAATGAATCATGCAGTATCAATTGATATCCACTCACTTAAAATCATCAATCTACGTTTGCTAAATTTGAGCATACACTAGACAAATGATGCAGAGACGATAGGTATGAATTAGGACTGTTTGGATGGCATGGGATAAAAAGACTTGTGAATTTGCTCTTATCCTTTTCAAACATGAAAGCTTTTAGCCATTTTTAGAGGCCTCCCCGTAGACTAAAATTGAAAAAGAACCATATAGACACCATGCTTTCTGCTTCAGAACCTTTTTGTCTTTTGCACCACATAATTCCCCCTCTCCCAGATGATAAAGAATTGAGGCATCTCTCTCATTTGGGCGTTATGTCTTTTCATTTTCCAAAAGAGATGGTAGAGTCATGATTTGAAGTTTATAGCTTTTGAATTTTGTCATCGATTTTATAATTTGTTTTAGTTATTGAGTTTGCAATTAAATATTTATATTTATCTATAAATTACAAATATAAGAACTAAGTAAAAACTATTAGGTTTATTCAAATCCGTACGTAATACTCTAAATCTGCCCATGTGACGATCCAAGAGTATATCATCCCTCTTTTCCTTAATTATATGCTATTATTGTTTAGTTTTATATACCGATAATATGAAAATATTTACACATTAAGGGTGTGTTTGGTACAAAGGAAAATGTTTTTCTAAAAAATATTTTCATGAAAAATGAGTGGTTTTATTATTTATTTTTCCTTGTTTGGTTGGTGAGTGAAAAACTTTTTTCGGAAAATATTTTCTAGTGTTTGGTTTGAGGGTAGAAAATATATTTTTAGGAAAATATTTTTTTATGTTACTATCCTTACCCCTTTTCCCCAAGTCCCCATGTTTCCTTGCTCCCCCCCCCCCCCCCCCCCCCCCCCCTCCCAAATACCTAACGGTTTCGGAACTCTATTTTCTTCAACAATTTAATTATATATTCTTCTAATAATTCACACAAACCCAAAGTAATTAATGCTCCATAACTATAAAGAAAATACTCTTTTTTTGGTTGAAAAGAAAGTACTCTTTCTACAACATAAAAATAAAGTAATCGTTTATTAAAGTAAAAGAAAATATATTTTTTAATTATAAAAAGAAAATACTCATTTTGTTGAAATGAAAGAAATTACTTTTTTCTACATCATGAAAAAAAAGTACTTTTTTATTAAAATGAAAAGAAAAATACTTTTTTATATCATGAAAAGAAAACACTCATTTGTTGAAATGAAAAAAAAATTATTAACAACATTTTTATTTAGGGTGAGGGTGGGGGTTGGTTGGTGGGGATGGGGAATAGGGTGGAGAAAGTTGAAAAAGAATTTTGGAAAATGTTTTCCTCTCTTGACAAGGAAAACATTAGTTCACGAGGAAAATGTTTTCCAAAACATTTAAGCCAACAAAAAATGAAAAGATTGGAAAATATTTTCCGAAAAATATTTTCCATCGTACCAAACACACCCTAAGTTAACTTAAAACCAAAGTGTACATAAATTCGTTAACTAAATAACGCAATTAAAAAAAAGTAATTTATTGAAACGTAGAATTTAAAAATCTTTAATCAAAATACGTACAACTTGAGCTCTCTAAGCTTTTGTATGACTTCACTTGTCCTTGGCTCAGTGTGATTAACTCAATATATATGAGTAGATACTAATTAATTGAACTATTGTTCTTAGCTTGCTATAGGTGAAATACTAAATTCTGAGGTCTGCCAAAGAAATTCAAGCTCAGAGTCCCATTACGACATAGCTTAGCAGATTGATTACTTAATTCTCTACATAATTAATAAGGCATAAATTTTCCAATATCATGGTGGTTTCGATATACTAACTTGTATAATTTTCCACGAAGGAGTCCTTGAATAATATAGGAGTTAAGATGAAGCACTCCATACTTATGCCCAAGAAAAATGAGAAGGATTGGAAAAAGTGGCGAAACGAGGAATTTATATAAGGAATTCGAAAGTAGCAATTTTTGAATCCCTTTTGTCACTCACTAGATTTTTTTTTATCTGAATGAAATTCAACAACTTTTATATATATAACAAAAGAATTCGTTTTTGCCTTATTTGCATATATAGTTTTGAAGTATTTCCTTCCTTCAACGTAACCTAGACCTAGCTCCGCCACTGATTGAAAGTAGGCCACATAAGAACAGACATCACAATAACAACAACCCAGTAAAATTTCATAAGTGAGGTCTGGGGAGGATAGAGTGTACGTTGACCTTACCTCTTCCCTGAAGGGATAGAGAGGCTGTTTCCGAAAGACCCTCGGCTCGAGAAGAAGAAAAATAAACAATAGACTAGTGACAACAATAGAAGATAAAAAATAGTAACAACATCGTAAGAAATAGAAAAATAGATGTAAAAACAATAACTATAGACAACAATATATACTACCATAGGAAATAGTGAGGAAACTATATAAACTACTAACAACCCACGGCGAAACATCAAACATAAGAACAGACATTCACGCATAATCAAATATAGGATTTAAGGAATTATATATGGTCCGGGTAAAAAATGTACACTCTCAGTTGAAATTTAACCCATGCATTATATCAAATTATCACTTTTTCTAGGGTATCATCATAACAAAACTTAAACATTACTCTAGCTCTTGTTCTTGTAGCTACCGCGAATAGGCAATCGTGGTCAAAATTACTGCTGCATGCATATGCAACATCTGTGAGTATGAGTAGTCTTATTTGCAAATTTGGCAGCAAAGGCTGTCATTATTAAGCACTAAATTAAAGTCTTCCAACATATATATTTTTTGTATTCCAAATTAAAAGAACGAACACATGTTTCAACCATTTGGAGGTGACAAACCGATTGAAATTTTAGCCATATAAGATACAGACAGGAAACACGCAAATAAAGTGAGAACATTGCTAAAATCATGTCAAATCACAGGCAAAATATGACTGCCCAGTGCAGAGGTACACAGTACAGAGAAATTGATGGTCCTGGACAATGCAAAGTGTAATAAAACTTGTTAGAAATATATATATGCAGTAGCTTAATGATGAAATAGCTAGCTGCTGTTGGTGATGAAGCATGCATCTGATCACAGTAAGGGAGAAAGAATCATTAACTCGTATACAGTGACACAA